GTAAATACAAATTATTTTATAAGATATCAATAACGTGTATTTCTAGACAAAGACCAAGATGATGTTCTGATTTCTTGGCCAACATTATTATGTTGTAGTCCTTGACTCCTTGCTGTAGAATGGCACCAAGTCTGGAACCTAAGAAGTATGAATGAAGGTGTCTCCTTTCCAATTCTTCGGTGTATTAAGGGAACCTAGAAATGCTTTAATTGTGGAAACAACTGCAAACTACAGTTTCTCTTGTGAGTAACATGGCTAATGTACCAAATTTTATGTTTTTCAGGTCTTATTCATGTTGGTGATGAACTTAGGGAAGTGAATGGGATACCAGTCGAGGATAAGAGGCCTGAAGAAATAATACAGATTTTGGTAAGATATAAATTTATTTTAAAATTGCAACAAAAATAAAATTCAATTATATATTGCAGCCTTTTCAGACTTGGTTTGAAATATACAGGATTCAGACTTAGCATTCCAGGGTTCACATCCCAGCTCCGTCACTTAATCCCTACGTGTCTTTGTAAAATACCTTCATCTGTTTGTGCCTCTGTGTTTTCATTTACAAAATGAGAGTGAGAAGAGATAAATATCTCACTGGAGGGCCGAGCCCGTGGCGCACTCGGGAGATTGCGGCGCTGGGAGCGCAGCAGTGCTCCCGCCGCGGGTTCGGATCCTATGTAGGGATGACCGGTGCACTCACAGCGCTCACTGGCTGAGCGCGGTGCGGCCGGTCTCAAAAAGGACAAAAAAAAAATCTCACTGGAGTGTTTTGAGGATTAAATGAGATAATGTGTGTAACAAGTTTAGTACACGGCCAAATTAGGTACTTGATAGATGGCATATACACTGTTGTTGGTGATAAATTTATCTTTGTCCTTCTCCCAGTGACCTAGCCATACTCTAGGCTATGAATTCAAGGTATACAAAAGAGCAAAACTAAGATATCACGTGAAATCTAAAAACTTGTGTGAAATTATTTTAGGCCGTGACGATATTAATTCTAAAGTTCATTTCTGCAGATAAAATGAAGGGAGACGGTCTGTTTTGTGTATGAAACATGCTGTAAGCCTACAGCAATAAAAAGAGATTCGAGTATTTCAAAACAAATCTCTGTATATATGTGAATTTAATATGTGATCAAGATGGCATTTTAAATCAGTGGAGGGCTGGCCCAGTGGCGCACTGGAGAGTGTGCTGCTTGGGAGCGTGGCGGTGCTCCCGCCGAGGGT